CCTCATATTCCAGATCCGCTTATGTATAGAAAGTCGTAAGTTATCAGTTAGTAGCCATTATTAAGAGAAAAGAAGGTCTCACAAGTTGGATTTCCTTATTTATCAAGCGAGCAGTCCATAATAGCGTTGGGGCGCGCTCTGCCACGTACCGACGATCGCGGCGATCGCCGAGGTCGCCGCGATCGCCGATCGCCGCTGCTGTCGCGAAGTATGAACGCTGCCTTAGGATTGCCTTGCCACACACCCGCCAAGCACTTAGGCTCAGAAGTGCTCAAATACCACTTCCCGTCTTTGATATTTATCATTTTCTGGAAGTTCCTGCAGGTGTATTTTGTAGACGCGGCCCTGTGTTGACTGGCGGCGCATTGGCTGTGATCGACAGCTCCATGCCGCCTTCTCTCGGGTAGAACAACTTGTCAGGAGTCATCAAAACAAGAGAAGCATCAAGAAGTCGACAAATGTGGGCAGAGGATGTTTCATATGATCTTCGTACCCTGTTGAACTATTCCTGAACCAGTCCGAAATCAAACCATTTTTCACCGACTTTTTTCAACAAGGGTAGATTTGGCTGAAGACTTGTTCCTAGGGGTTTTCTGACCTCTCGAGCCCCCACAAATCCTATCCGCGGCCTCAACTTGGCGTGAGGGTGGCCAGCTAACGCAGATGGTGCCTCCAGAGGATAAAAGAGTTGCAGAACTTCACTCAGGAGGTTTTGTTCAACTCTGCAATTTAAAAGAGTTCAAACATGCACCAGATCGACCCGCTTGATTCTGGAATGATGACGTAACAGATGCGGAGAAAATGTGAAAATCAAGAAAGTGCGTTTAAAGCATAGCATCTCAACCCAACCAACGGGACGAGAGCGAATTATTGCGAGGCTAAGAGAAACGTCAGGCAGACAATAGCTAGTGCCATCAAGAGCAAGGCAGACTCACTGGTCGCAAAACTGGACACCAAGGAAGGTGAAAAGCAGATTTACCGCCTTGCCAGGTGGCGCTCCAGAGCAACACAAGACTTCGTCAACACGACGACGTTCATCAAGGCCAGCGATGGAGTACTTCTGCACGATTTCAGTGAAATCAAGAACCGCTGGAAAGAATACTACCAGGAAATCTGCAACGTGAATTCCCACATCCGGCGCTCGTCAGTGAACCCTTCATCCAAGGACCCATCCCTCAAACTGAGGACGAAGTCGAAGTGGCCACCAAGATGAGTAACGGGAAAGCTACTGCACCAGATGATATTCCTGCGGAAATCCGGAAGCATTTTGGAGCATAACTCACACAGCTCTTCAATAAGTGCCTAGAGGAAGGGAATATCCCAACAGACTGGATGAAAAGTGTCACGGTGCCAATATACAAGAAGAAAGGAGACATCGCCCACTGCTCCAACTATCGACCTATTCGTCTGATGTGCCATACTCTGAAGATATTCGAACGAGTGCTGGAAGCCAGACTCAGGAAAATAGTGGATATTAGTGAGATGCAGTCCGACCACAGTGCCACCGACGCTATCCAGGTTGCTCGTCGCATGATGGAAAAGGCCCGAGAGTGGAATAAAGCCACTTCACCTGGCTTTCTTAGACTTGGAGAAAGCCTACGACCGGGTGCCCCGTCAACTAATTTGGGAAGCCCTTCGACATCAGCAAGTTCCAGAAGCGCTGGTAAATGCCGTTCAGCTGACCTACCGCCATTCCACAACATGTATCCGGACGCCTGTAGGACACTCACAATTCCCGGTTACCGTAGGTGTACACCAAACATCGGCCTTTCGCCGCTGCTGTTCTATGTTTGGACTAGGCGACAAGGAAGATTCAGGAAAGAGCCACCTTTGACGCTAGGTTATGCTGATGACGTGCTGCTGATGGATCGGTCCAAGAACAAGTTGGAAAGGCGCGCCAACCGATGGAAGAAGGAACTCGCTGCACATGGACTCAAACTGAACATCAACAAAACCGAGTACATGTGCGCTGCCATAGTCACCTCTATTATTGTGATTGACGGTACGCCTGATTGGCTCAAAGTTCCCTTAAGTCGGGTCTACGCTAGCGGCGGATGGAGAGGCCAAGGCGGATACAACATTAAGAATATGTAAGCGCGGCATGGAGCAAGTGGGTGACTGTCACTGGCATTCTCTGCGATAAGACAACGCCAGTTCACCTGAAGTTCAAGATTCATCGTAAGACCAGTCGCCACCTATGGAGCGGAGACCAAGCAGATGACGGCCGTGGAAACAAGAGCCTATGGTGTCATGGAGATGAAAATGCTGCGATGGAGCTTGGGACACACACGGCTCGAACGAATTCGAAATGAAACCATTCGTGGTAGGATCAAAGTCCAGCCGATTGTCAACTCCCTTGCCGCATCTCGTCTGCGCTGGTATGGTCATGTTCAACGAAGACCTCCTGAGGCCATATGCAAGTCTGCTGACAGGATCATTTTCGCCGGCAAGCCTCCAAATAGCCGACCTATTAGGTTGTCCGGAAAGTTCTCAGCGTTTTGTGCACCTATTTTTTGTACATTCACTGCTGATTAAAAACTCATTCTGCCTTGCTTCTCAGTAGCACATCCTGTAGAGAATTTCTTGCGCTATCTGTATAATTGCCGTTTCACCATTGCTTGATAAACCCCCTTTTTTCAAGATTTTTTCAAGCATGTGAAAAGAGCACTTCGGACGATTTTTTTCTTCGACTATAAATTGGGGCAATCCGCAATCGAAACAGCTCAACAAATTAACCAGGTGTGGGGGCCCAATAGTGCTAGAGAAAGCACTGTGCTCAACAAATTTCGTTCTGGA